GAACAAGAAGAACAAGAAGAACAAGCAGCAGAATGGAGGAGAAGGAAACCAGAGAAGGAAGGAGACTGTATAGAACGGTTCTGCGGTGGGGATCTTCAGGGTATAAACAGGGGTTAGTTATATAGGGATTATAGGGTACATACAAGGGACATATAGGGATAGTGGAAAAGAAAATGGAAATGGCATATCACAATAAACTGTGTCATCTCATCTTGGAACGTATTGTACCTGGACATAGCAGGGGTTCGTTTGCTTGTGATTGTGCGGTGGTCTTGCGGAATAACCTTTTCTGCCATGCAAGTGACTGATTGAATTGAGCTTTCCAAAACCTCGACCGTTATCAAGCCATACACAAATTCTCATGAACCGGTTTTTTCTATATTTACTCCGTATATCCCCAGATAACCCTATATAACGCCAACATCCGATCAAAAAGCACAGCAGCGGCAGCAACAACAACTAATCACTTCCCCTGATATTAAAGAAATTCAAAATAAGGGTTCCCCAGAATACCAATTTCCAAAAGCTGACCCCAAGACTATGTTCAAAAGGGCCGAGACTGAAGTTAATTACGGCTCGGATCCTCTGAATGAGGGGTGGTCCCTAGCACGACTCTTGAGGACGAGGGTCCTCCTTGATTTCCTAGTATTTGAATGATTTTGACTGGTTTTTCTCAAGCAGCTCAACATTTTTTAAAGCAGATTTCAGTTGAGTTTACTCAGACTCTACTTAGAGTAGATGCTAAATACTGATGGGTTTGATCAAGCTTTCAAATTGATTCTAAGTTGGTTTTGCTGAGATTAAATAAGATTTCAATGGCTCTCAATTTGATTTCATTGGTTTGGTAACGATTTGAGTCCGATTTGAGTTAGATTAAACCGGCCTTTTTTCGATTTGATCGACTTTTATTCGACTTTGGATTGGATTTCAATACGATCAAATATACACCCCCCCCTAAAAGTACGAGTTATACGATAAATACCAACCCCCCCCCTCCCCCCCGCCCATATTAAATACGGTTTGGAATATAGCCCTTTAATATTAGGGGCAAAGTTACTACCACCACCACCACCACCACCCACCAACCCTAAACCCTAAACCCTGTGGCTCGCCTCACGCTCTCCTCATCTTCGGGGTCCAGGCGGGAGGGCAGCGGCGGCCTTGCTGCGCGACAGATTCCCTTATATAGGGTTATATGGGGTTATATGGGGTTATATGGGGGTTATATGGGGTTATATGGGGTTATGTAGGGTTATATAGGGGTTATATGGGGTTATATGGGGTTATATGGGGTTATATGGGGTTATATGGGGTTATATAGGGGTTATATGGGGATATATATGGGGTTATGTGGGGTTATATAGGGGTTATATGGGGTTATATATAGGGGTTATATGAGCTTTAATCTAAACTCCTAGTACCTCTCCTGATAAATCCTTTAGTAGTCCCCTTTATAATTCCTTGTATAATCCCCTTTCAGGAGTTTAGACTATAGCTCATATGGGGTAGAAAGCGGTATAATTATAGGGGAACGGAAACGAAAGTGGAAACCCTAAGCCCCAAACCCCTTTCTAAGTACTTTGATGCTCTACTTCTGATGGACTTGGAGCTTCCTTCATCGTAAGAAGCATCTCGCCGAAATAGATCAAAAGGATTCTCATGAGCTACAGTTTGCTATTTCCTACACAGTTTAATGGACATGGATTCCTTACTAGGGAATATATTAGAGACTATACTAAACTACAACAGGCACCCCTACGTCCAGTGTTAAGGGTCCCTTAGCAAGGCTAATGTTGACAGTAACTCGAATGGATATGCAAGAGACCCGAAGCACCTTAGGCACCAAAGCTCTTGCTGGCAGATGCTAGGGAAGAACGCGCACTGCCGAAATGCACTCTGCATTGCTGTGTGCTTGGCGGTAGAGGGCCGTCCGGCTCATCTGCAAACCTTGAAGCAGCATGTTATCTTCAGTCAGACCTTGTACTTGTTGAGATGAACGTTGGCGTATATGGGTTGAGTGCTCATCCCGTTGACAAGGATTGCTACCTGAGACTGCCACAGAGCGAAACAGTAAATCAACTGCGTCATCCTCGCTCGCCATTCGGACTTGTAAAGAAGGGATCCAGGATTGTGGCACATCAATGCGGTTACCGTGCAAATCAAACTCCCTCCCGTACTTGACACCGACCGAAACCATAAACGTGAAATCCCAGCGGGCATTATATAACACATCCCTCTCCTAAACCACACTAACCCCCCCAACAAAAAATTAGCCCCTTAAACCCGATAACCTAATCATAAGCCCAGCAACCCATAAAACCAAGCAAACCCCCTGTTCGCATGTAACCTAAGGTGCTTTCAGCAGCAGCCAAGCTCCTGACGCCTGCCCGGTCATCCAGCCAAGGATGCCACCATACCTCACTTTGCTTACTGATGCGCGAAGGGTTTAGAGTTTTTGCTTTAGGGTATAGAGTTTAGGGTTTAAGGTATAGAGTTTAGGGTTTAGGGTAAAGGATTTACAGTTTAGGGTTCGGAGTCTGGCGTTTAACGTCTAGGGTGCATGCAGGGCATAAGGTCTGGATATAGGGCCTGCGGTTTGGGATTTAGGGTTATTGGTGCTCATTAATACCCTAAACCCTTAAACCCTATAAACCTAAACCCTTAACCAGCATGGGGTATCATTCAAACCACAACCCTTGAGTTTGCAGCAGCCTGGTCACACCAGTTAGCTGAACAGCTCTAGTAGCGTAATACTAGCGACTTATAGTCATACCATCTTTGAGCGCAAGCACTAGTCGCTCTAGTGACATACAAGAAGGACTATAGTAGTTTCCATTTTCTTTTCCATTATCCCATGATACCCATGATCCCAATATTATACCCATTATACCTACGGTATCTGCGCAGTGGCCAGTGTCTTCCTGACTGGGTAACCTGCCCGCTGCTTTTCGCAGCCGGTGGATGGCTGGCTGACGCCGGCTCTTCTCGTGAGGGCCTCAGGTCGATGTTGGACGCTGAAAGGAGCTCCGCGCTTTAGCGTTTAGCGTTTAGGGTT